CCTTTACAGATCACCATCCAATAACACAATTCGACGCTAGTCTAAGATACAGACAGTGTCCTTAGATAAACCGCAAGAAAATAAATAAATAATATTTTATAAGTCTCTGTTTTGGAAATGAATGTTGAAAGTGCAGATAAAAGAACAATAATCATCTCATCCTACCAAATGCTGTTCCGTGTGCAAAGTCCATGAACGAGTCAATAAATAACAGCAGTGCTTACAGCATTATGCCGATGACAGTTTGATGCACCACACAGTCGCATGCATGTGTGGGTATGTCTGTTCCGTTTCTGGCGAACATCCCAGAAACGTTCTACACACACACAGCTTTACGACAGAAAAATTATGTTTTATAACATGAATCCGCCCCCAGAAATAAACTCAAAATTACTAACAACTTGGATTCTTTGGTAGGTAAAAACTGTATACATTTTATGAATAGTTTATATTGTGATATACGTACTTTATTTCAGTGATATATATTAAAACAATTTCGTGTTGTAGTTTTAATTCATATGAATTAGTCTAAAATGTCATTAGGCGCGCTGAACCATGAAGACAGTCAACTCCGGGCATCAATTTATATTTTACCCATAGTTCTGTGTGAGCTTTAATGACAAAAAATTCCTGCTTCAAAGCAAAATATCGAATATGTAATATTTAAAACGTCTTTTAACTTCGGCCAGATTCTTCCACGTGGCGTTTTAAACAGATATCGTAACTTCTAAAAAATCGAAAAATTCCTAATAATTAAAATGTACATTAACTTTAACAGAATGGATATTTTTGGTTCCACAAGACACAAGAATTCAGACTTTTACAATGATACTATGAAATGTTAAAAGTATAAACTGTCGATCAAATAACGTTTATGAAAACCTAGGCATAAGACACAACAGAAAAGAGGCTAAAATTGTAATACCAAACCCAACATTAAACACGGCATGTGTTGCAACTTTTTTAAAATTTTGCAGAGCCAAATTTAAACGCAAAATGGGAAATGCAGTGTTTCGCAACGACTTGGCAGAGACCAAACTAGTACGGCATGCATGTAGGGGATCACAATATCACAAAACACTGTGTGTTCCATGAACATTCTGTCGACATATTTATGGTCTCAAAGTTATCTCGAACGGAGAATAATCCAGAGAAACGGGCGAAGTACACTACAGACAATCCAAACTGAACCAAAACTCCGGCGAGTAAAAAAGTAGGTACGATACACGTTTCTCAGCGTGTCGTTCATGGATTATTCTTTTCAGTTTCAAAACTACTATAATTTTCTCCCTTATGTTAATCACACCACAGAAGAGACAATTTGGACTTCTCAAATTACTATTTTCACGAGTGTTGTTTTATTATCAACTTATTAAAAATATATCCATCAAGAGTTATTAATTTATCTGATCAACGTTTATCCCAGTTGGGGCAGATTATGTAGCACGTGTGGGACAGATGAGAAGTACTGTTAAAGTTTGAATCCGAAACCTGACAGAAAGAGATCATTTGGCAGATCTAGGCGTAGATTGGTCGATAATATGACTATGAATTATAAGGACTGATTGTGGATATGAAGAAGGTTATTCCATGGAACTGGTTAGATATCATTTAAATTTTGATACGAAGTCTACAGAAGCTATGTTACAATATATATAACTTGAAGAAACGATATTAACTAGTATATCTTTGTAATGGAGACGCGATATACTTTATCTTAGGTAGGATGTGAATATTTCAGTATTGATTAAATGGACATGTTGGGTCAGAAACTGGTGTGCGTTCTGTCAATGGATCCTGTCATGCTAAATGTGTCACATTTTTACCACTACACGAAAGGGAAACAAAGGAAATGAGATCATTCCAATGACGCTATTAAGAACGATATAACAGGCCGGCCGAGGCA